TATATATATATGTGTGTGTGTGTGTGTGTGTGTGTGTGTGTGTGTATACGCATGCAAATAATTTCAATTTAAAATCTTTTATCTTTTTATGATAAAGATTTGTTAATTATATATTTGATAAAAATTTTTTTGATGACCTAGTATTCTGTTTGAAAAATATGCTGTGTCACCAACTGCTCACAAACTCTTCATTTTCGCAACTTTAATGATACATAGTGCCGCAGAATCTTATTATCAGATAATAAATTATATACCCGTTGCACGATTCGCGGCTCGATTGACATCAACCATCGCGCAATCGCGATTATTATCGTACTGTCGAGAAGCTCAATGATGCGACAAAACAGATAGCGCGTCGTATTTATTTCCGAAAAAACACCGACGGCAAAACGACGGTAAAATCGCTACGCACACGGAACGAGCGAGAGCAATATAAAGGCGCCTGCTTCGATAAGCACCACGATTCCCTTGATATCGTTTTTATTTTAAGCACTTTGCAGCTTTAATTATCTAGAATTATAAGAAGAGCAAAGATCGCGCCGTGCAAACTAAACTCGTCTGACTCTTTAATCTCTCGTTAAGCAATGGATCCCGAAGACAATAAAAAATTGTGTAAAATAAAAATTTAAGAACTTAGAAATTAGAATTGGAAATTTATCACAGATTAATTTATTCTTAAAATTCATATTGTGCTTCGGGATTCGGGGTAACGAGATAAATTTCCAACTTTAATTTCTAACGGTTCTTAGATCTGAACTTCGGAATAGCACTCCAGAAAAAATATAACATCAAAATATATTCCTTTATATGTATGTATATATAAAAGTTCTAAGAAGTTCGAACGCAATCTTCGAAAGCAATCTTTTAAATCACTTTTTAACGTCAAGAGACAAGAAATTTTCTCGTTAGAAGAATTATGACACAAATTATCGTGCAAGGGCCAGCATCTCCTCAAATAGCAGTCGAGTGATGAATAGCTTTCGTCTAATGTTATCGACCACTGTAAGTACATATAGTATAGTACATATAGTATACATATAGTAGATATACGTCGAATGACTGGCAAATGGAAATAGACCGGTCACCGATTGGATAGGTGGGCCGAGCCTCCGTAAAGCTCTCGAATGCCATCCGGATCTTCCTCTCGGTTTCGCACGCCTTGCTTGTTGCTTGCGCTTGTTGTGCGGAAGTGTTACGTGTTGCTGGCGCGTACACACCGCGAGCTCGCGATGACGCAGTGGCCTTGGTTGATAAAAGACACGCGAAGCAGAGGAGATCTTTACGGTAATCCGCAATTCGCACTTTCGCGACTCGCCGTGCGCGAAAGCGACCGGCGAGATTCGCGGCGCGAGATCCGACGATGATGACCGAATGATCGTTTTCGGAGGAACGTTTTCGGAGGTTTCCTATCCCGAAATGTTTGTTAAAAAGTTGAAGTTAAGTTTATACGATGCCGATTGAAAGATCAAGTCTTGTTACAGTCTCGTTTACAGTATTGCAAGTTTGCATTATCCTATATAGTCCGTATAATCGTAGATTGTTTCTGATCCAGAAATCGTCGATGCGATCGATTTTCTTCGAGCATTTGTCATTATTTTTAATATATGCGCTTCGCTAATCGTAGTTGCCAAGATGCGGCGGATCTGAGATACGCTGACGTAAGGCGTAAAGCGATAACGTGCAAAGAAAGCAAACTTTCTCATGATATATCCAGAGTGCTTATACTTAAAAAAAAAAAAAATAATAATAATAATAATAATCTACTCGATGCAATATGGCATGAAAATTACGTGAGCAACCACTCATTTTCTACTCTAGAAAAAAAAAATCTAAAAAAATATTATATAATATAGAATAATTCAGAATTTATCTCAAATTTATTATTCATTACAAATAATGAACAAATTCAATATACAAAAAGTACTATCAGGCAATAATCCCAAATTTTTTTCGACGAATAATATTTCATTACGTTGTGGATCGATTTTTCATTCAATTTTTTTTAAACGGGCACAATCCCAGATCATTCGAAAAAATTTATCTTTCCTTAAGCTCGTATATCGTTCTGCTGAAGAATGCAAATTCTTCTTACCGCATTAGGTAGTTTTACCTTCCGCAATGCGACAACTCGAAATGCAGGTCTTTGATGAATGTGGATGTTCTTATTCCGCGTCATTTCCGCGTATTGCAAATAATCTTACGATTAATTCAATAATAGCTGCATTCAATATACATATGCAACGAGAGACGCCAATGCGCGAATATCGATCTCAACAAAAGCCAGATTAACGACGTAAATACGGAAAAAAACCCATTCATAATTTCTATTGAACGCAAAGTGATATCGATAAGGAATACAATTGGAAATACAACGATTAATTTTGTTTTGTCAATTGATGCAAATCGAAGATTTATTCAATTACATTTGTTTTCATGTATCAAAAATATAATAAACATAATAAAAATAGGAATGAATATATGCATGACATCAGCTACAAAATTTTTATAAAAAAAGAACAAAAAAAAATATATATATATACATTTCTACTTATTTTATGCCATTAATTTTATTACTTTTACTTATTAATTTTATTATATCAATTTTACTTGAATATAAATTTAATTTCAACATAATTCATGGATTCTATCTAAAATTTATTATTGTATAAATTTAATAAATGTGTTGTCAAAAAGTTAACAATTTTTTGGAGTTATGATAGATTTAACAATTCGAATTTTATAATTTCTGAAAACGAATAAGAACCTGCAAATAAGTAATTAAATGCTGCATCACGATTATTATTTCACTAACATTTTCCTTCTATTGGAGGCGTGGAATTGCTGACGTAAAACGTGAACATCAATTACAATTATTACACCGCGAACATGAATATTTTTCATGCAATAAATTTATTATTGCATTTTCATTCAATAATAAATATATCCGATAAAGATGCAAATGTTTATGTAGAAATTACGCAAGAAATATAAACTCCTATAATAAGTAGGTATAATATTGCAGAGATTGTTATTGGAATAAAAATTAATTTTTCAATTATCGATAAACTTACGACATTTTAATTCATCGCTTTAGCGAAATACTATTGAAATTTGATTAATATAAAGATCTTCGAACTGCGATTAGAAAATTCTGAAATATGAAGAATGTTTACGTACCGAATTAACTTTGCATGATAGGATGTTTGCAAAAAGATATCACTTGAGAACCAGTCGATAGCACCGTAAACTGATGTCATTATATTATATAAGAAAAAAATATTCAAAATTGATTTTAAATCACTTTTCTAGCTTCGTATGTCTTTATATTCTGTAAATTTCGTGAAATAATAACATTGAATTCCCAACAATTCCAACAGATACGTTCCAATCGATATTACTGTGCAAACTGATCCTTAATCGTTTCATTTATTCTTTTTTCCGCCGTGCACCGCCCAGATCTAGCAAGTCCTGATTAGATCACATCTAATTAATTCAAATCTGTATGCGCGCAAGAATCGATATTTATGTTAGGAAATGATTTCCTCATATCTGAATAAAACTGTTGAAGAAGAATTCTCTTCTGTCATTTCGCTTAATTCGTTCAATCCTTAAAATGCCTGTGATGGAAGAAAAAAATAAAACTGATTCATTCGCATTAAAAGAGAATCAAAAGTTGATTGACTTATAATATACTTTACAAATTAATACACAGCACAAAATACTACAACAAATTCGATTTGCTTCACAAATATTTTTTTTCCTTATAAGACAGTATTTTTTCTGGACTTGGCTTCTTGTTTTAGGTGGAGATAGTATTTGTATGAGGTATAATGCTTTTGTTCGCGTTTGACTTGCAATATTGTTTTTACGATCGTTCACATTGCGTCATCGTCGCTTTATTTTTATTCATTCCGAGTAGCGTTTGCATTGAGATGTTTATCGAGAGGAAGAGTATAATTTCTTTAGGACCTTATCGCTGATAAGGGAACGAGATCGATCGCGGCGCGCTTTTCAGGGTCGCTTAAGATATAATTAATTCGGCTCCTTGTTGAATATCGAATATAGAAGCCGATACTACGTGGCGTGATATCGTCGCTGGATTTATCAGGGAATTGATTGAAATTACATTGTATCAAACGGAACTGATATATCATCGATCGAATCATATTATTGATGTTACCTTCAGATTATGTTTGCTCCCTTACGATTTCAATTTGTGGCTTTATATAACGCATATAACGTCATATGACGTCACACGTTATAATAAAATAGAACAATAAAATAATTTTATTATACATCATTTTATATATTAAAAAAAAATCAATAAGAAATTGTTATCTTAGATTATGTATTACTTCATAAATCTCTTCTATTATTTTTGAAAAAAGCGATTTGGATTTTGTGAGAATATATATAAAAGATAAACAGAGAGGAATGAAAAGAGAGTTTAACAAATCAACTTAATAATATTATAAATATTAATAGAATCATGAAGATCATTTATTCGATTTTAATTGAATTGTGAATTAATTCGATCAAAAACTTTTTGAGGTTATCAAGAATTCGATAATCTCTGTACATGGCTATAGAGGCAAATGGCAAATAGAGTTAAGTACTGTTTAAACCATATGTAAGATTACAATAGCTTTTGTTGTAAGCATATCGTGATGAATCAATTGTAACGTCACTGAATTGTAACGTTACGCGTTATGTCGGTACAAAAAGTGTGCACTGGTATGACTAATATGTATTATTTATTTACAATATATTGAATTTTATAGCTCCTTCGTAAAAAATTTTCCGTTTAATGACGTTAATTATTTATATTTTTAATTATTTAATTATTTTCTTTAGGCACAGTTTTTAATATAACACTTTATAGTATGATATTCGCGAAATTTCTCTATAATTTCGATATATTTTTATGAATTTTTACATTGGTCTGATATTTTAATCTTTAACTTAATTACTGCTTTAATTAAATTACCAACACCGTAAGTGTAATCCTTTTATCAATTCCTTCGTTCAACACTTTAACTGCCTCGTTTACACACAATGAATAGACAATGGATTTTACATTGACTCTATGTATATCATCCTACGTACAAAGAAAATCTTCATAAAGAACAGAACAATGAGTTTAAAGATAAATTTAAGCTCAAAATAGAAAAAAAAAGAAAGTTTCTGTTTCCTATTCTTTAAAAAATGTGAATATTATTTAATATTTCTCTTAACTGGATTTCTGAAATAAGACGAATGTTTGATTCCCAGAATCACAATTAAATCTGGATTAACTTTAACTATTTACAGCAGTAGGAAGCAATTGTGGAGTAATGACGTCACGAGGAAAACGGAAATTGTCGGCAGAAGCCGTATTCGTTGTCGTTTGCGCGCGATTTTAGCGAGGCCGCGCTTAATTGCGGTGTTGTTTGGTTCTATGGCCTCTCTTTCATTAATTCAATTGTCTTTTATCAGCGGGAATGCTACCGGTCAGCCTAGATCGAGCAGCATTTGTCCGGTTGCCAAGCGTGAACGAAACGCGTCGTATGATACGTCTTTTAGCTTTTTATAGAACAAGAACACTCCTCTTCCTTCGAGATGCAATTATATCGTGGATGTAAGATGCACGTTTTAAGTTTTCCTTACGTCATTTACGCTAAGAAAAGACAGGCACGATATTCCGGAAAGATAAACAGAAAACAAAAGAAATGTGTGAAAAAAGTGAAACAGATTTTTAGTAAGCATTTTTTATCGCATTTAATTTTACGATACAATTAAATTAACAATTATCGACTCCGACTCCATGCTTCCGAAGATATCGTTTTTAATGCCTTTTTTATCTTGTAATACGTGAATGTGTGTGATAAAAAATTTCAGACATTATATTTCCCATTTAAGAAAAAACGAAAGATGCGCGATTATCAACTCAAATCTAATTTTTTTATTGTATTTATTTGAAGCTTGTAATATTGCATTCAATAAAATTATCATATACCAGGTTTTCGTTGTATTAACATTAATAAAAATAATTTATAATAAAAATAAATTGAATTTCTTAATTTATAGAACCTAATTTATATGTTCACATTTTCATTTTAATTTAAATATACTTAATTTAACGTTATATTATTGCTCATATATAAAATTAAGAAGAAAAACTTCAGTAATCTTCCAAAGACAAATTTCTAAATTTTAATAAAAAAGAACTTTATATATAGATATAAAATAATCTAATATATATTTTCTTTTTCAAAGGAATAAATATAAACTCAGAAGATAAATTATCGCAGAATTTTTGGCATAATCTCGATTAGAAAAGCTTAAAAAAAAAAATTTGATCTGGAGTAAATCTTGCAATTATCGTTTAAAATGAGTTTCACATTTCATTCAAGCTCAGTGTTTCGTCTAGTTGGTATTAAAAATCGCCAAAGGAAAAGAGGAACTCACCTGTAGGCAAGAGACATGCATTGGAAGAGTTTGTTCAAGGACGTCTCGATGCTCAGCTGCTGGGACGTACTCTTGTCATTCAACGAGCCGCTGCTCGCGAATCTGTCGTGAAAGAAACCCGGATGGGCGATGATCGAAAATCTGGCGGTCTGCTCCTCCTGATCCGGTACCGGCACGGCGAGTTCATCCTCGTCGTCCTGCGCCTCAGCCTCAAAATCCGACACCATGAAATGGCCCGAATGTATCGTCTCCCGCGAATCCCGCCCACCGTTCTTCTCTCTGTTATCATTGCCGGCGCGATGAAAACCGCCCTGGCTCGTCATCGCCGTTGGCTTCCGGTATATCAATTCCGCCTGCATCTCGGCACTGTTCCCCTACGGACACGATCCTTTCGATATGCAAATCTTACCACGATGGAGTCTACTTCGCGAAATATATATCGAATATCTTCCATCGTTTTAAAGATGGAAATCAAATTAGTAGTTCAAGAGCAAAAGCATCTAAGATGAGATCGCGAATACTGACACAAATGAATCAATGTATAATACAGAATCTTCTGATAATTTAGGTTATATTTAATTTATTATAATTTATTTGAACAAACGATAACAATAAAAATATCAATTAAAAGTGATGACAAGATATAATATTAATTAAAAGTACTATAATTTTAATAAAATTTTTTTTTTACTAGTAATTTTTTTTAATTAATTACTTAAAAACTAGTAAGTAAGTAAGAAGTAAGTAAGTAAGTAAGTAAGGTAAGGTTAAGGTAAAGGTAAGGTAAAGGTAAAGGAAAGGTAAAAGGTAAAAAATTAAAAAAAGTTTAAGGTTTAAGTTTTTAAAGGTTTAAATTTAAGTTAAGGTTAAAGTTAAAAGGTTAAAAACGTTTTAAAAACCGTTTAAAACCGTTTTTAAGGTTTTAACCGTTTTAAACCCGTTTAAAAACCCGGTTTTAAACGGGTTTAAAAAACTTTTTAAAAAACCGGTTTTTAAACCCCCGGTAAAACGGGGTTTAAAAACCCCGGTTTAAAAAAACGGTTTTAAAAAACCCGTTTTAAAAAAAAAACGGTTTTTTTAAAACGGTTTTAAAAACGTTTTTAAACGTTTAAAGTTTAAGTTAAGTTAACGTAAGTAAGTAAGTAGTAAGTAGTAAAAAGAAAAAGAGAGAGAGAGAGAGAAATAAAAAATGTATTTTGTAATATGATAGAATTAAACAACTTTGTCTCACTGATTAATCCAGCAATCAAAAATTTGTATAGCTCTACACTGATAAATAAATTTAAATAATTGTAGCGATAGATTTAAAAATCTTGATCAAAGAATTTGATCTAATTTATGTTTTGTGATCTAAAATAGAATCGTCCAAATAGTATGTAGTAGGATTAGACGACCTCGTTTTAAGAAATTGTGCTCAGCGAAGTCTGTGTGATAGAAGAAAGGCTTGACAGACACAACAAGCCCCAGTTATCGAGGCTCTGATAAATTCAGCTCAACGCATCTCTTTTTTTTTTTTTTTTTTTTAAAGTACTATATTTGAATATAACGAGGGAAGAAACTGAGAGATCAGGGGAGAGAGAGAGGGGAAATATAGAGTGTATATGTATCAAATAAGTTATAAAAATTGTAATTTAAATATATATTATTTATATCAATATCGTGGAATGTAAACCTACATATTTTTCAAAATAAATTACGTACGACACATGTTGTAATATCATTTCGACATATAAATGCGACAATTAAGATTTTCAAGATTTTAAACATTACACGCGAACATGGTGGAAATAAATAAGAATAAAAACTGCGCAAAAGAAATTTTAATTTATACAACGATCCCGCGGAGCACCTGATAATTGAAATGTATTTGTTCGTCTTCCGAGGTCGAGGGTATGAGAGTCTCGACTGGCGCCAGGCTTCCTGTCGATACGCGATTAACAAGCTAATTTCGCGATAGCACGTGCGGAGAGCAATCCGACCCCCACGGTCAGTTGAATGACCGTATCGCCGAAAACGCACGGTGGCCAGTGGCCGTCTCTTCACGATCGAAATCGATTCCCAAAATGAAATGACCTATATAATTAAAATAATTCTGACAAATTGGTTTCCACAAATATATGCAAATTGTTAATAACCAGAGTCTCAGAGTTATACGTTGGCTAAAACGAAACGTAACCGGGACAATTCACCGCGATGAGTACGTGTCTCGCGTACGAACACGATTTAAATGCCTCGATTAATGATGCAGCGAATTTTTTTTATGTAATTGTTATGAAACTAATAGCCTACTCCGTTTCTTACGTGAATTTCGTTTATTTTAGAATGGAACGATTTTAAGATGGATCTTTTCTGAGACGGAAAATTTAGCTCCGATTTTTTACGAATAAACCCATCGCGAAGCCAGGAGTTATTCTAGTCTTCTATCGTAAGATATTTCAAGAGAGTTGATTTCAAGCCTTGTTGATTAGTAAATATGTGTATTTAACGGCAGATATGGGAGAGGGAGGGGAAAGAAAAGGTTATTTATAATATGTTTCACGTGTTAACTGTATGGATTAATGGGAAAACATGTTATTTACGGTTTAGTGGAATCCAGACTTTCATATTTACTCTAATTCTCGGAGACTTCTTCATTCACGTGTCTAAAAATACATTTAATTGAACCATATACAAGATATTATTTAAAAACTACATGAAAAAAAATTATGTTACGTTTAATCTTTATTCCTAATTTTTATTTCCAAAATTTAATAATTCATTTCTATTCGCCTTAGCTCCCTATTTTATTTTTATTTCATTTAATTAATCATTAATTGGTTCGGCTTACGTACTAATAATGACATTATCAAAATTCGATTTTAATATTAATAATTTGTTGTTAATTTAATCAATCATCGATTTCCATAGAGCAATGGACTTCAGTCCATTCTTATCTCTTTATCATAGCATACAGATACCGTACTGCAACTATAAATAGAAACGAGACGAAACAAAAATTTCGACGGGGTCGATGTAATCGTTCGATTCAACATCATCGATGCGGCCTATTAACACCGATTACTAGTTACATCGTAATTCGTGAATCGAGACATCACCCGTTAAAACCGGTTTCCCGCGGGTTCCTCCCGTTCGTTATCATTCAACCGTTAAATTCCAGACGGCGCCTGAGCTGGAAACAACATCTGTCGCGATCGCCTTTGACTAAAGGTTCCTTCAAATGCAAACATAAATGACTCGAGTGCCGATTACCGTAAGCTCGAGCGTGCCAGGTCGCCTGCTTTTTTTTTTTCTCCTTTAGCAATCTTACGCAAATACTTGCGACAACTCGCACGTCATTTTCCAGCGAGTGGATTCAGAGTTATGGCATTACGTATACGAGAAATGTGAAGGTGCCTCACCGTAGCGAATCGTACGCACAACACGATACATAGAAAACGATAATTTACGTGTATGGCACGTATGTCCCTTCGTGTATCCACGTTTCATTTCAACGTATCACCAATGTAATTATGCTAAGTTGTTCGCCGCTTTTCGACAGAGTGTCTGCAACTGTTCACTTTCGTTAAGTTACAGTCATAGAAAATTACAGTCATTTGAAAATATTAATTTTTAATGTATTAAAATATATGACT